TTGAGTTGTTCGCCGCCCTGAGTCCCTCCCGGAGAAGGGCGGCATACAAATAAACTAAATCTTAATCTTAATCTCTTGGGCGGTCCAGCAAAGAGAAATGCCCTGCTGCTGATATCCCTTTTCTTATCTTTCAATATTTATTTTTTGATTAGCCCTTGGGCAATATCGAAGTGCAGAGTTCCAGAAAGAAATTTATTACTAAAATCTGATTAAAAAAAGCAAATTTAAAATGGAATTGGAATAAAATACGATTTAAAATGCAATGGGAATAATTTTCTTATCATGCTACCGGGACCGTTTTCACTCTGCACGGGTATAAGAACTGCCAGTTTTTTTTCAAATGGGTGCTTTAGATTTTTTTTTCTTTTTTCTAAACCTCCTCCTTCCTGATGTCTCTTCCTTATCGGCGTCGTACTTTTGAGAGCAAATTCAAGCATCAATCAACGCCGCCTGGAGTTGCTTGGTAGAGAGACGGGTGGCATACAAATAATAATAAAATAAAATAAGAAATGAAATGAAATATAAAATAAAAATAAAATAATACAGTTAAAATAAAATAAAAATAAAACTTGATAGAGGCAGGTGGCAAGCAAATAATAAAATAAAATAAGAAATGAAATATAAAATTAAATTAAATAAAATTAAAATAAAACAAAACAAATAAAACTTGGTAGAGAGACAGGTGGCAAGCAAATAGTAAAATAAAATAAGAAATGAAATATAAAATAAAATAAAAATAAAATAATACAATTTAAATAAAAAAAAATAAAACTTGGTAGAGAGACAGGTGGCAAGCAAATAATAAAATAAAATAAGAAATGAAATGTAAAATAAAATAAATAATAAAATTAAAATAAAACAAAACAAATAAAACTTGGTAGAGAGACAGGTGGCAAACAAATAATAAAATAAAATGAGAAATGAAATATAAAATATAAAAGAAAACTAAACTAAACTATACTGGGATTCTGTAGAGGGGAAGGGGATAGATTGATAGTACTGGAGAGACCTGGGTTCGAGTCCTCAGCCTCAAGGATCTCCCGGAGACACTCTGGGTCAATTCATCCCTTGCAAGTTAGCCTACCTCACAGGACTGTTGTTCTGGGGGAAAATGTATGCCATTTGAGGTCCCCAATGAATCATGGGATATAAATCTAATATCTAAACGAAGAGTAAAGAATGGAGGAGGAAGCAAATGGAGGAAGCCAAGGGGGGGTGGGGTGGGGGTCTCGGCCACCTGCCTACCTGGTCACTGCGGAACTGTCCATGCTTTCATCTTTATCTCTGTTTGAAACTTACCTAGGATGAGGAGGGTGATCCCATTAAAAATGGCCCCGACGTACGTCATCAGCCACATGACGACCGCGAGCTGCAGACCAAGGAGAGGGCACAGTTAGCAAGAACGGGAGGGCAGGAATGTGCGCCCGGAGGCATCGAACGGTGAAACCAACGGTGAAACCCGGGCCGCTAAATCCCTTTTGATAGAGGTCATGTTTTCCCCGGCCTACTGTGGTGTCCTACTCTAGGGAGGGTTGCTCACCTCCATTTCTTAACGGAGGGGGCCAGAGTCGTCCGAAGATGCTCCCGTGTCCAGCATGACTATATGCCGAAGGGGCACCAAACGCTATGACCTTTCCCGACGAGAGTGGTACCTATTTATCTACTTGTATATGCTTTCAAACTGCTAGGGCAGGGCTTGGCAACCCGCGGCTCTGGAGCCACATGCGGCCCTTTCATCCCTCTGCTGCGGCTCCCTGTCACCGGTTGGCTCCACAATTGCTAGGCTTTTTCTTTAGAGTCGCCCAGGTCAGCTTCACTGTGCATGCGCCTCCCGCCAGCCAAATGATTTTCGAGTCTCTGCTGGGAGATGCGTGCGCATGCCCGTGGGTGGGGTCACACGTGCATGTGTGGGGGGTTAGGGTGAGGGGGAATGTGCCCCCCCACCCCATTTTTGGTCTAGTGTGGGTTCCGGATCTGGTGCAACCGGTATGGTGCAACGGGGCTGGGCGCCCACCACATGAACATGCGCGCATGCGTGGTTACCACCCGCGACACTCCAGCTGCCGTACGCTCCGTGCATGTAAGCCTCGAAAATTTCAAATACCAGTAAGGAGCGTGGGCGGGCGGGGCCCTCTGGAGCACCGTACCGGAACGGTACCTGGTGCTCCTGGTAGGCACCGGTACACCCGTACCAGGACATACCGGTCGTAACCCACCACTGTTTTGGTCCCAGGGGGCTGCAGGGGGGCCTGCTAGCAGCAAAACAGGGGTTGCGCACGCATGCGCAGGAAGCAGGGGAACAAGGGGTCACGCCCGTATGCGCGGGGTGGTGGTGGAAATATTGCGGGGGGCATTGGATTATGGGTGTTGGCGCTTTTGGCACTTGAGGAAAAAAAGGTTCGCCATCACTACCATAGAGCCAGGGCAAGTGGGTGGCAGCCCGCGTTTTTCGCTACTGGTTCGGGCGAACCGTTCCAAATCGACTGAATACCACCTCCAACCCTGGGCCCAAATTCCTGGGTGAGGCCTCGTGCTGACCTTCAGTGAATCGACCAAATCTTCCACCAGGAAGAGGCGTAGGATGGCTTTCAGGATATGGTTGACGTGGACCAGGGCAGAGCTGACGTAGTTATGGAAGGTCTCGGAGGAGAGGTTGACGTCCATGTTTAAGTAGGCTCTGCGGAGGGAAATGGCAGAGTGTAACAGTGAAGGAAACGTGTAGCTGGTTTTCGGCTTACGACCGATCCGTTAGTGACCGTTCGAACCTACGACAGACACACGCCTGCCCAAAAGGTCTTGCAACCCAGATCAGAACTTCCATCTGACCACATTTTGGCCGCCCAGCAACCGGCCTATATTTATGGCAGTTTGTGGCGTGCTGTGGATCCTGGGACCACAATTTACCTTTTTGGCTGAAAAGCAGTTTTTACTTCCTGCAGCAAACATGTCACTGAATAAACAGTGTGATTCACTTCACCACCACCCAAAAATGTCATAAAATCGGATTGGTGATTGAAGAACAGTGGTAACGCAGTGATTAGGATGCAGTACCCCTTCCTTCCTTCCTCTCTCCCTCCCTCGTGGTTAGAATGCTGTATTGCATGCTAACACTGCCCACTGTCAGGAGTTCAATCCTGACCAGCTCAAGGTTGACTCAGCCTTCCTTCCTTCCGAGGTGGGTAAAATGAGGACCCAGATTGTTGGGGGCAAGAGGCTGACTCTGTAAACCGCTTAGAGAGGGCTGTAAAAGCACCGTGAAGTGGTATATAAGTCTAAGTACTATTGCTATTGCCCTTTCTTCTCTCTCTCCTTTTTCTCGTTCCTTCCTTCCTTCCTCCCTACCCTCCCACCTACATACCTACCTACCTAAAATGAGGATCCAGATTGTTGGGGATAAGTGGCTGACTCTGTAAACCGCTTGGAGAGGGCTGGAAAGCACTGTGAAGCGGTATATGTCTAAGGGCTATTGCTTTTGCCTTTCTTTCTTTCTTTCTTTCTTTCTTTCTTTCTTTCTTTCTTTCTTTCTTTCTTTCTTTCTTTCTTTCTTTCTTTCTTT